GGAGGTTGGATTCTGTCAACAAACAAGAGGTCCCCTTGTGTCTCTCTGCCTTCCTCCTCCATCACATCATCTGGACACCAAGGTTAATGACAAATCCTAATTACTTTTTGGGGCCCATCTGTTTAGGGAAAATGACCTCAAATGGAAGCCACCCAGCTACCTATCCCTTGGCACAGGCAGGATATGTGAGCTAAGCCTTTGAAAGGCTCTGGGCAGAAAGAAATATAAGGATGCAGAAGGACCTACCAGTGGGTAAAAACAAAACAAAAACCACAAACAGATTTTCCTAGGCAAATGTTTAACTGCAGAGTTAATACCTTCAAAAGTCCGGTGGACACCCTATGGGTGTCTGTCCAACTCACAAAGGTCCTTCTCACACTCGGCAGCCACGCTGGTGTGGCCTGGCTCCCCTGGCCACAGCTGACTGGATGAGGGGAGTGCTCAGGGTGAGCTGGTCCAATCGGACTTCCTTCCCTAGGAATCTGGAATTAGGACTAGGAAGAGCTATAAAATCCAGGCAGCTATGGCACGGGTATATTTTCTAACATGTCGGATGTGAAGAAAAACTTTCCTGAGGCCAGGCTGTGTTTCTGCCCTTGGGTCCCTTGAGATATCTCCCCATCCTTATATTAAACTCGCCTTTTTGCATAAGGTGGTAGAGTCTCCAAAGATGGCCGCCATTAATGCCTTCCTTCCATGGGGGCCTAAGTCGCTCTTCCATAAGGAGAAGGGACCTATTTTCCCTCTCAAAGAGAACGTGGAGGGGTGATGCCCTGCCAGTTCCAGACCCAGCTGCTAAGAATCCTGGCAACTTCCATCTTTGCTCTCTTGGGATCCAGCTGCCATGTAAAAGCTCAGGCCAGATTACTGAAAAAGCAGAGATCCCACAGAGAGGGTGGGCCACAGAGTGCTGAAGCACAGACATGGGAGCTAAGCTTTTGTGGCCCTTGCAGGGCAGCCCAGCCACCAGCTGAATGCAGCTGAGCGAGTGACCCCACCCCACACCACATGGAGCAGAAAACCAACCCAGCAGCGCCCTGCCCGAATAATCAACCCACAGGATCATGAAAAATCAGAACTGCTGTTGCTTTAAGTCACTAAGTTTTGGGTGGTTGTTATATAGCAATACATAATTCAAGCAATCTCCCTGGAATTCATTCCCTTTCCTGCAAAGAGCAGTCAGGGCATGAAAAATAAACTCCACTATCCCACTTAGCACCTCAATAAGGGACATGGGGGCAACAGGAGGCTGTTTAATGAGTTTCCCTGCTGGTCATCATCTCTCCCTCCAGGGATGCTGAAGAGAGCAGAGCTGGGTTGTGGGGTGAGTGGCGAGGCAAGGTTTAGACACCCCCCCGCTCCCGCAGGACAGAAGCAAAGAGGCTTCCAGGAGAGAAGCAGCTCTTGTCTGCCACTTGCCTGGGGTTTCCTGGGGTGGCTAGCTCTAGCCAAAGTGCCCCAGGGAGGGAGCGCCTCCTGGGAGGCCTGAGGGTGATTCTTCCCCAGATCTGTCAGAGCCTTGGGAGCACACAGACCAGTACTGACAGCTTTGGAGGTACAAACAGGCGAACAAGAACTGGAAGAAACCATTAGACCAGCACCCAACAGGCTCCAGCTTCCAGTCCCACAGTGTCCCCCTCCACACCTGAGCTTTTAAAATTTCCATGTTCTTCAGAGTCTAAGAATTTGGGGCCAAGCCTTCAGGAAAGACACCTAAGAATTAAAAGCAAAATTCTGAAGGTCAGCCAGACAGGAATGTGTATCTTGGCTCTATGTGACCTTGGGCAACTGACCTTGGGCCAATCACCTCTCTGAGTCTCTTTCCTCACCTGCAAAAGGAGGACAATAATAGCACCTACTTGACAAGGTTGAGAGGAGCAGTTAACGAGTTAATCCACAGGAAGTTTTAGATTCAGTGCTTGGCACATAGTAAGTGCTCAATAAATGGTACCTAGTATGATGATGATCTTTTATGATGTTTATTAATGATGATGTCCCACCACTCCCAGATGGCTTTCCCTCAGTTAATAGAAAAGAAGATTCCACATCACAGAGCTGGTGTGAACCTGGAAGGGTTCTCAGGTACATCTGCAATTTTAACCATTAGAAGGAGCTCATTAACTCTGAGAGGGCCAGCCAATAGCAGGTATGAGGTCCTCCATCAGACACACCCAACCACTATAGAGTCTGAGCAGGAAGGATCCTGAGAATCAGCCTGACCTGCCTCATTAGATGGGGGGAGGGGGACTGAGAACCCTGGGTTCTGAAGTGGAAGCCCCGATGGCACCCCGTTTTCAGCCTTGCTTTGTGTCTGATGTGTCATCTTGCTTTCCTCTGAGTCCGCTCTGATCCCTTTCCAGGGAAGCATGGAGAAAACAGGAATGAGGGCAGGTGTGAGAACATAAGACACAAATCACGTTGGGTTGCCTCCGGCAATGCTACCAGCAAGCACTGGCTGCTGGAAAGAGCCACAGCCAGAATCCCGCGGGGCTATCCTCCCCCACTCTGGCAGAAGGAACACCATCTCAGCGAAGGGACACTGTCTTCAAGGGCTTGGCCCCAGCCTCCCTGGAAGCCTCTCAAATTCCCTTTAGGGAAGCCAGGGCTGCTGGAATTCCAGGGCTTACCAAACAGGAGTCTCAGGGCATTTTTCCAGAATAGAGGCCTTGGCCAATGTCAAAAACTGAGCTTCCTCATCTTTAAAGGACTGCCACTCTTTATGGAGCGTGTGCTCTGTGCCAGGCACTACGATAACCCCTTGCATCCTAATTAAACACTCACCAAGAGTTAGGCACTAATGTTGACCCCATTTTACAGATTAGGAAACGAGGCACGGAGAGGTTAAAGTGGCTTACCTAAGGTCACACAGAGAGGACATGGTAGAGCTGGAATTTGAACCCAGGTATCTCTGACTCTGGGGCCCCAGGAATTAACCACCGTGCTATTCTACCACATCCTCAAGTTAGCTGGGGTGATATGATAAGACATGGAGGACAAGGCAGGGAACCCATCTATCTTGTTCTAGAAGGCTCAAGCTTGAATCTGCTCAGCCCACAGTGACCTCCATAACTTTACCCCCTGAAGCCGCCTGCCTGCCATGTTTGTACAACACGGCTGACACCCGACACAGCTGATTGGATGAGAGACAGCCCCTGACACAAGCCAGCCAATGAGAGCGCCTTCCCTGGGAATCGGGACCCTCTCGGCCACAGGGGACGTCTAAAGAAATTTGGAGCCTCATGGTCTGCCACGTTCACTCACTCATCGAACAAATATTTTACTGCACCCCTACCATGTATTTAGGCTCTAAGAATTTACTAGTGAACAAAACGGGCAAAAAAATATCTACCCTCAGTAATCTTACAATCTAACAGGGAGATATACAATAGTCAAACTAATTATGTAAAATATAAAATATGTTACCCGGTGGTAAGTGCTATGGCAGAAAAAAGGCTGAGAGAAGTTTTGCTTTTAAGCATTTACCCTTATTACCCATATCCCTCACTTCAAAAGGCTGAGGCCCATTGTTGGGTGAACACACACACACACACACACTCATAGACCTCCTGCCTGGACAACTCCCCACTCTGGTTTATCTTTTAAAAAGCAAAATAAGAATGCAACCCCATAAGCATGCCCCTGGAGACCTATCCCTTCAGCTACCTCCGGAGTAAGCAGACGGAGGGTGTGGAGCATGACACTGACCCTCGCCATGACAGGTGTCTGTTGTCTGTCAGCAGCACTCCCCATCCCACCCCAACTAAAATGATCTGTGGAGGCTCAGACCAAAGGCACCGACTTCCACTTTCCATCCAAGACCCTTGTTTGCCCCTAGCTGAGTATGTGGGTGGAGAGATAAACGGGCACTTCGGTGCCCACATCAGTTGTAGGCAATTGGCAAAGGCTACCCCTGGCAGAAAGGTCTGGGGAAGGGGCTGCGGAGGAGGAGGTCCATTTGAGATCCTGGTCTGGGAGGACCCTCTGGGGGCCTGGCAATCTGACAGCCAGTTTTCCACTTGTGCCAAGAGCCCCCCATACACCTGTTCCCTCCCCTCCCCTCCCTACCCCCACAGTCACCCCCATTTCACCCACTCCTCCCTTTGCAAGACCACCCACATACTGCCCCCTCCCTCTCTAGCCCTGGCCTCACTCATTGATCCTGTCACTCTCTGACACACATGTCACACAGCCTCCCCTCCCTATCTCTCGCTTCTCTCTCATACACATTCAAAAAAGCTCTGCCCTCCAAACTCTACTTTTTCCCTTCTTCTTACCATTTATGAAAATGAAGTGTCACCAGGGTCTGGGAAGTGTACGTGCCTCACTCCACCTACTGCTTGCAACAGTCTTGTGAGCTAGACTGTCGTGTCCTCTGCTCAACAAGCAAGAGAACAGGGGCTCACAGAGGTGAAGCATCATGCCCAGGACCCATAGCGGGCAAGTGGGGAGGCTGGGATGGAGCCCCCCGTTCTTCAGAGTCTAGACCCACCTGGTTAACCTCTGCCACCTCCCTCTCGTGCTGTCTCCCTCTCTCAGGATCCGTTTCTGCCATTCTCTCATATAAATTCACTGCAAATGCGCTCTTTGACATACTGTCCCTAGACATTCTCCTCCTTACCTCTCCCTCAGCTGTATATTCTGGTCGACAGTGTCTCTAGAGCATATTTCTACACAGCTGAGATTGGCCCAGATGCCCTGTGCTCACAATCACGGGCCCCCAGGCTCCAATGCACTGCCCTCTCAGAGCTCCCGCTCTGTAAGGCACCCCCAGCCACCAAGCCCTCTCCCAAGCCAGTCCCCAGCCCATTCTGTCTCCTCCTTCCTGAGCTCTCCCACCTCGTGCCACAAGGATTCCAGCTCTGCCAGTTGCGGGGGAGGGGGGGGAGTGGCAAACCCCCAAGGCAGTCTGCCCCACCCCCCAGCACACCCCTGAGCAGCACAGTCTGCTGGCCCTCAGGCCTCAGGGGCTCTCCAGATGGATGGGAAGTGTGGGGCCTCACCCGATTCGCTCCTGTTCCATCTCTTCCATCTTCTCAGCTCGAGCAATCACTCTGTTGATGATTTCCTTCTCCTCATCTGTCAGCTCTTCCTGCTTCCTCTGTCTGTCGGGCTGACCACCAGGATGAAGGGACCAGCCAGCCTGGAGCCTGAAATGTAATACGGGGAGGCGTGAGGCTGCAGAGATGCCCAGCAGGAAGCAGACAGTGGTGGTTAGGCTCTGGTCCCTGGGGTCTGGTATACCTCAGTTCAAATCCCTGCAGGGAAACTCACCAGCTGGAGACGAGCCTCAGTTTGCTCATCTGTACAATGGGACACTTTCTTCCCTCATAGCATTCTGATGTTTATTTCCACTAAGCACTTAGCACATGGTAGACACTCAGTGAGCAGCATTTGTAGGATGCTCATGAGAACCCGGAGAGTAAGGGTGTTCTCAGGAGAAGAATCCAGAATAGAAGGCTCTACAGCTGGAGCAGAAACAATTCTGGGAGGGTGGTCGGAAGCCCTGGGTCCCAGGTTGACCCAGCTCCTGCCTGGCATGGATGTTCTGTTTGGGCCACAAATGATTTCTTTTATAAATTCGAACTAATTGCCAACTGGGTTTACAAAAAGCTCTTCATTTCACATCAACATCCAGATTTCCAGCCTCAAAAGCTGCCGTAGCTTTTGCATTCCATCCTGCACTTTCCTTGGCCTTTCTTTTCTTTTCTTTTTTTGAAAGCCAACATTGACATAGCACCCACTGGGTGCCCACATGACCTCATGTCATCCTCACACGGTCCCTACAAATATGGAGAAATGAGACCACTTGCCCAAAGTCACATGGCTGGAAAGTGGCAGAGGTGGAATTCGGAGCTGGGCAGGCGGCTCACTTAACCTCCACAATATGGAGGGAACCCAAGCTCTGCCCACACAGCCCCAGTGGGGGCAAGCAGATCAAAGGCTGCCGGGTGGAGAGGGGATACTGTGGTCTATGGCAAATTATCATCATCTCCGCTAAGAAGATGGTTCACGCCCCATGGCACTGAGGTGCACCCCCTGAGGGGAGCGCAAGGTTAAACACCACTAGAAATGCTTGTCCCTGCTAGGGAAGAAAATCAGTAAGTAGGAATCCTCTGGAGCCAGCACCCCACCAGCTGCCAGACTCCATTATTTCCACTGCTCTAATCACATCAGCAGGCATGAAATTGCCTTTTGACACTCAAAGTTGGAAATTAAAAGCCCTATCTTCCTCCCTCCCCCTGGCTTCTCTTCCATTCTCCCACCCTTAGTTGGTTTGTTCGGAAAAGCGGAGAGGGAAGAGTCCGAAAGCAAAGAGAAACAGTTGCCTGGGGGCAGGCCTTACTCTGAGAAAGGAAAGGAAGGTGTGGCCTGGGGAAATTCCTCATGGAAACACACCTTGTCCTGCAGCAAGGGCCTCTGGGGATGAGCAACTGCAAAAAGCACTCGGACCACGCTGCTCAAACCCCCCGATGACTTCTCACTGATTTAGAACAACGCCCAGAACTACATAGCGGTAGTGGGTGCATGACATTGTGAATATGATAACTGAATCGTACACTTCTAAATGGCTAATGTTATGTTACTGTGTGAATTCTACCTTCATAAAATAAAACCTGCTCTTCTAAAAGATTTTGCCCATCTGCAAAATCCTACCCGCTCTCTCCTTAACCTGCCTCTCTATCCTTATGGCCTTTTGCTTTCCCTTATCACAGTCAGCTGCACTGGCCTCTCTGCTCAGTCCTGAACACTGTCTTGCCTCAGGGCCTTTGCACCTGCTGTTCCCCCTACCAGGAAAACTTACTTCCACAGATCTTTCCAGGGCCGGCTCCTTCTCATTATTCAGGTCTCGGCTCAAATAGGAGCTTCTTGGAGAGGCCTTCCTTGATCTCCCACAGCCCAGATTTACTTTTCTCATGGCACCCATCACTAACTGAAAATATCTTTGGAAAAATTTTTGTTGTTTACCTGGTTAGTGCATCTCTCCACCCATGCCGCCCACTACCCCCCCACCACAATGTTGGTTCCAGGAGGGCAGAGGCCTTGTCTGAGTCTAGACCACTACTGTGTCAGTTGTATTTAGAATAGTGTCTGAGAGTAAGCACAGAAAGATTTTGAATAAGACATGGTCCCTTGTGGCCCAAAGGGATGTTAAATGTCTAATCAAAACTGTGACCCAATTATGCTAAATGAAATAAGTCAATCAGAGAAAGACAAGTATCATATGATCTCACTGATATGAGGAATTTGAGAAACAAGACAGAGGATCATAGGGGAAGGGAGGGAAAAATGAAACAAGACGAAACCAGAGAGAGGGAGACAAATGGTAAAAGACTCTTAATCTCAGGAAACAAAGTGAGGGTTGCTGGAGTGGAGGGGGGGTGGGAGGGATGGGGTGGCTGGGTGATGGACACTGGGGCTGTGAATTGTGTAAGACTGATGAATCACAGAGCTGTACCCCTGAAACAAATAATACATTATATGTTAATTAAAAAAAAAAAAGTCGGTGAAATCCAGGAAAAAAAAAAAGTGTGACCCACAGGGAGACCCAAGCAGTGGAACCTGGTCAGTCCACGGGACCAAGGACAGCTCCCTGAGGAAGTAACATCCATGGGAAGACCCCAACAAGGGTCTACTGTGATGCCAGCGAACCTTACATTTGAGACTGTTTGTTTGCATAGGCACCCTCTCCGACCCCAGGAAGGGCATTAGCACTGGCTGAGTGATTCAAAAATTTGCAAAAGCAAGGTATTTTTGTTATTTTAAAGAGAACCCCCTAACTTATATGAGCTTCGGGCCGCAGCAGAGTTAGGGCCCCTGCAGAGACCCCAGAGGTAAGCTGAAATCTGTGAGGGGATGGCAGAGGAAGAGACCAGGCCTGGCGGAGGGAATAAATGGTCTTTGCAAAGGCCTGGAGTTGAGAAAGCTGGCAGAATGCCCGAGGAGGTGAAGGTCCATGTGGCAGCCAGCCTGCAAGATGGTCCCCTAAGACCCATGCCTCCTGGTATTCACACTGACTCCCGGCTGGTCCTGTGTGTGATCGACGAAATACAGTGGAAGTGGCAGTGCGTGACTTCCAAGGCTGGGTCGTAAGAATCATGCAGCTTCCGCTTTGGTGTCTTGGGTCATTCGCCCCGAGGGAAGCCAGGCGCCATGTCATGAGGACAGGCAAACATCCCGGTGGAGAAGTCCACGTGCAGGGGATCGGGGGCCCCCCAGCGACAGCCAGAGCCAACTTTACTGCTACGTGATGCTCCAGCCCCCAGCAAGTCCTGGGATGCCTGCTGCCCAGTGGGCATGTGACTACAGCTGCGTGAGGAACCCAGTGCCAGAAGTACCTAGTCCAGCCACCCTCAAATGCCCACCAACAGAAACTGTGAAATGTGACAAGTGGTTTCTGCTGTCTTGAACCACTAGGTTGGAGGTGATTTGGTCTGCAGCATTAGATAACTGGAAACACTTGGCTGAAGGATAGAGACAGAGTGGCATAAAGACCCACCTACAGTGTCAGTATACAATTTCTGTTGCTGCATAATGAGTTGTTACAAACTTAGGGGCTTAAAACAACACACATGTATTATTTCACGGTTTCCGTGTCCGTCCAGGCCTAGCTAAGCTGGGTCCTCTGCTTGGCGTCTCACGAGGCTGCAATCAGGTGTTGGCTAGGCTGTGTTCTCATGTGGAGGCTTGACTGGGGAAAAATCTGTTTCCAGGCAAATTCAGGTTGTTGGCAGAATTCATTTCCTTGCAGCTGCCTAAAGTGAGGGCTTGGCTTTTTGTTAGCTGTTGTCAAGAGGCCACCCCCAGGTCCTGGAGGCAATCTGCAATTCCTAACTAGGTGGGCTTCTCCAACTTCATCCTGTGGGCTGCTTGCTTCCTCAAGTATTCCAGGTGAATCTAGCCCCTGTCAACTGAGAGTGTCTTCTATAGCATAATGTCATCATGAGAGTGACATCAGGTCCCTTTGCTATATTCTATAGGTTAGAAACAGGTCCCACATCCCAGGTCCCCACACTCAAGGTGAGGGGATTACACAAAGTCATGAACACCAGGAGATGGAGACCACCGTCTGTCTGCCTTGCTTGAATGCTCCCCACAACGGAGACCTCACTCTCTTATAAGGAGCCTGTGATGTTCTGTTAAAAAGATCTTCCTTACGGTGTGCTAATATCCCTTAGTCTGCCATTTCTTCTCATTATTTTTAAAAGATACATTGGACTCTAGCATAATGAAGACCATTCATCCTTCCCAAAGAGCCTTAGTTACAACCTGATTCAGCCACCTCCCCAGGTCCCTCTGGCTTCCCATGGAAACGGCTGTCTCAACTGCCCCTCTTCTTCCCTCCTTTGTCCCTATTTTCTTCCTTCCTCCTCTTCTGATCCCTCTCTGCTTATTTCCTGCCTTTACCAAGCAGCTCAGTGACCAAAACAGAGCACAGGTGAGATGTTGGGCCATGTACCCAGTGGAGACCCCTTCGAGGCCATGTTCCTGCAGCTCACAATCCACTCATGGACAGGGTCAGCCAGGGGCCAGACATGAAGCCAACACCTCTCACCCCAACACACAACTCGTTGTGGTCCATGTGCAGAGGAAACGGGTGCTGCTGGACATGCATGGCTCCAGAAACATAAGCAGGGATGGGGTTCCCTGACAGGGCGTGCCTGAGATAATCGCCTCCATGTGCAGACAAGAAGAAGGTCTGCTGGGGGCTGCCAGCATCTCTCCAAACCCTTTCCCCATTCTCGGCTCCAAAACATGCAGTTGACAAACAGCTCATCAGTGTTTGAAAATGTCACCGATTGGTCTCAGTGGGGACTCGCAAGCCTCCTGTGGATTTTCATGTTTTAATTCCAAAAGCAAACAGAGGGAAATGAGATGGTGTTTCAAACCAAAGCCTTTGCTCTCAAGGGGGAGGTTGGGTCTGTCTGGGTCTCCCCATGATATGCTGGGGAGCACTGTGAGCATGGGAGTCTCGAGAATGCTCCTATGACAAGACAGTGGCTCCCCTGCCTGGGCCTCTGGCATAGGATTGCAGCTGCACATCCTTAAGACCAGAGTCCAGTGTTGGGAACTTATCAAAGACCAAAGTTGGAGACCAAAGTACTGCTTCTTTGAACAAGTTACTCACAGCATTGTACCCAAGCCAGAAAACATCCAGAGGGCCCCTGCAGGCCAACGTGAGCCCTCCTTGACCCTGACCAGGCAGAGTTCAAGATTGTAATCCTGGGTCTGCTACGTATAAGCAGGTGTATACTGGGGCTCTGCACTACTCTGAATATCAGTTTCTGGATCTATTAAATGGGAATAATTTCATTTATTCTCAGGGACCCTGAGAGGCCACTCTGGACCCTCCAAAGCTGCATGAGGAGAGACCTGGCTCACTGGCTGGGGCAGGTGAGAGTGAAGAGCCTAGCCTGTCTCCACTCTTATCCACATACTTAAGACAATGCTTCCTGGAGAAATATTGAAGGATTCCTGCCTCCTATTCCCCCCAAACTGTTCTTGGCAGTTCCCTAGAGGGATCTCAAGGGCTGCAGGGGAGTGGGGAAGAGAGGGACAGAGTAGGCAGTTAACCAGGCCTTCCATCCTCACTCAGCTGGGTTCTCAACACCAGCAAAGCAGGATCCCAGTTAAAAAAAAAAAAAAAGAAAAAAATTTTTAAAGAACTTCATATTTAATAAAAGCATGAAATATGGTTTATTGCATTGATGACCTCAATACTTCACCCTCCCAAGTATCCATGCTCTTTGCCATGTGAATTTGAACTCGCTCTCACCAAAGAGTTAGTCTATTTCCCTACCCATGAATCCTTCCCAGACTTACGACTTGCTCCAGCCAATAAAATGCAGAGGAGTGATATTGTGCCCCTCCTGAGGCTGAGCCTGCAAAAGTCTCGTGCATTTCTGCATCTTCACCTCTGCCATGAGCAGACAAGCCCAGGACAGCATGCTGGAGGATGAGAAGCATGTGGAGCAGAGCTGAGCCATTCCAGCCATGGCCGTCCTAGATCAGCCAACCCTTTGATGCATAAGCAAGCCCAGGCAAGACCAGCAGGGCCACCAGCCAAGCCCAGAACCCCGGGAATAAATAACTTTGGTTCTATGCCACTGAGTTTTAAGATGGTTTGTCACACAGCCAAAGCTAACCGATACACTATCCACTATGGCAACCACACACAAAGGTGAAGCTTGTTAGAGTCTCCACATTTATTTTACGGGTTGGTATTACTTGAAATGACAAGTTGCATAAACTTCACTATCATATGTTGAATGCTTTCAGCCACTAAAGGTCTTTATCCAGCTCTCCTCTTATCTGTCTTATATATTTAGCTTCTGAATTAAGTTTATTCGAAGAAAGAGTTTCACTGCTGACAAAAAGTTTAAAGATCACCGCAGCTGACCTGCTCATTTCCCAGCTGACTGATGCTCTGAAGAGACCAGGGAATTGCTAAGTAACACGTGTGAGGCAGAGACTCAAGAAACTGGCATCCTGGCCATGCCTCATTGGCCACCTGAACATACCTGCTCAGGTGCATCTGGGGAGTGTCAGAAGGAGCCCTCCCACCACAGCCAGCAGCCACAGCCCCCAAGGCCGAATGAAATCCATCCTGACTCCTGATGGCAGCACCTCACAGGTGCTGCTCCCTAAAATACTGCAAAGGCCGGACTCCCGCCTCCTTTTGGCCTCCCACCTCGATTCTTCATTTCACACACACAAGAGTCACATAGTAAATACCCACCAGATGTCTCTATTAATAAATTATAATTCCCAAAAGGAGTGGGATGATGGAAGTGCTGTCGGGGCACGAAAGCTCTGAAGCATTAAATAGCAGCGGTGTGCAGAAAATTAATCCTTTTCTTTCCTTTCTTCTTCTCCACCCCCGTTCCCCCCAGGATGCCAACAGAGGCAGGTGTCAGCAGGAAGTCTCTTTACAGCTCAGTGAATGAGGTTTTAATGAATCCGGGAGGAAAGGATGGGGAAGGAGAGGCTGCTACACCACAAAATGGTTCAATATGCCCTGCTGGCACAAAGACCCTTTTGGATGAAATTTACCTCTACCAAACCAAAGGGGGTGCAGAAGGGATGCTGTGGCCCCCCCACCCCCTTTAGAATGCGAAGGAAATCTCGGGGAGCCTGCTCATCTTTTAAGTCAGACTGAGTTCTACTCACTTCCTCTAAGTTTCCACGCTACTCTCCTATTTGGATTTTGCACCTGCTGTTCCCCTACCTGAAACTCCTCTGTCTCTTCCCCATCTTGCTCCTCCATTGCATGGTCTCAGTTTACATGTCACTTCTTCCAGGAACTCTCCCACCATGACCGCCAAGTCTGGGCTGGGCGCCTCTCCTTGTGCCCCACAGCCCACTGTGATTCTGCTACTACAGTTCCTTGCACATTTGTGTATTTGTTGCTGACTGGCTGTTCATTTGTTTGTAGACCCCACTAGACACATACTCATACCCTGGCTATTCCTGTATCCCTGGGGCTTGGCACAGTGTTTTATACTTGGTAGGCACTTGCTATTTGTTAATGAAGGAAGAAAGGGAGGAGGGAAGGGATGAAGGAGGGAAAGAGAATGAACATACACCCTTTCGACTTTCAGCCCTCAGGGAGCCTCCAAGAGCCCTGGCACCCTCTGGAGTCATGAACTTCTCTCTTGGGATGTTCATATTTATGATCTGACAATGTCCCAGCCTCTTTCTCTGGATGTCTGAATAATATACTCACAATATTCACAAAACACTGATCTTGTTTGGCCAGAGTGTTATCAGCCAACAAGAGAGATTGCAGAACATTCAAATAGTCTTTAGTGATCAGCTTGTCCAAAGCCCCCAGCTGACAGATGGGGAGGGAGGGTCGGAGTCAGGGAAAGAATTTCCCCAAATCACCTGGTTAAGTGTTTATCAGCATTAAGAAAGCCTTTAAGGATTCTGGGCCTGATGATGTGGTCACTTGGGTCCAAAAAAGCTGAAATTATGCAAGTGCTATATATATATATATATATATATATATATACACAAGTTCCATATGTAATATATATATACATATAAATATATATTACAAAGTATATATAACATATATACACAACATATGTGTGTGTGTATGTATATGTGTAAACACACAATGTATATATATACAAAGGTAAGGCAAGGTTGTAATTCACACATGCCTCTGACTTTGCTTGGTGCTTTACAGTTTACAAAGCTTTCCTGTGCATCTCATTCGATCCTACCACCACTCGCAGAGGGAGGAAGGACAGGGTTATCAGATGTACTTTACAAAGGAGGGAGCCAGGACTCAAGGAGGTGAAGGGCATGTCTCCAGGCCACGTTGAAACAGTACCACAGCAGGACTCAGTCCTGGGTTTTCCGATGGCAGGCCTAGTGTTCTGCTGCTGGCTTTGTGATAACTTCCCCATCTCAGGGAAGGGTAAAAACGGCTTTCCAGAGCTTCTCAATGTGCACACACAACCAAAGCTTGGTCTGCTTTGCAGCCTGACTGTTCATTTATTGGACCCAGCATTCAATCTGTCATGCATATTGAGGAAATGAATCTAATTTAAAACAGAAACATTGTAAGCAAAGATAGGACCTCTGCGTCAAAGGCACTTCACTGGGAAATGAGACTGACCTCCCATGAGGTGACAGGGACCATATGTGCGGCACGTAACTTTCCACAGGCTCTGTTCTGTTCCTCATCACCTTTTATTAATGACAGCAGTTATGTGAGCTAACACTGTCTTTATCTGAGAACATTGTTCCCAGGCAAATGTTGCAGAAGAGGGCACAGAGTGGTCTAAAAATTTGCTGGAATCCCACAGATTACTAACAAGGATGAAACTGAGAGCTCTCTTAAGGAATGCATTCCATCCTTTTACCAAGATCATTTTTGGAAACTTCATAATTTTTTTTTCCTCAGGAAACTTGGGTTTGTTTGTTTTCTTTTTTAGATATGCAAAACTTGCTAGTTCCTTTTTTAACCAGCTCTCTTTAGGGGCAAAGCTAATTTGATCAGAAAAGAGATCAAATTCAGTTTGTAGCAAAAGTAAAGTATCAAAATACTCACTGTTCTTTATCACTGAAGGAAGGCAAAGGAGAGAAAGAGAAAATAAAGTTAGGAAAGAAATCTCCTAACGCTGCCAACACTGGATGCAACAACCACAGAGTGTAAATTGCAATGACCTACTTCTGGTATGATTACCCCCCACCCCAGTCATTATCATCTCATTTTGGCACATCCGAAAAGGGCTGCTGCAAAGTAAGGTTGTAAAATCCTCAGCTTTGATTAAAATGACCAATCAGTTCAGCTTATTAATTAACTGAGCTGAACATTGATGTATGTGAACAATGGATTTTCGGTACCAAAGAGAAATCACCTAATGGCAGCATGGCTAGCCTCATCCTGGGGGATGAGGAGCACATTGAGGGAGGGCCATGAGCCCCGAACAAGTCAGCGGATCATTCATTTGCAGTCCCCCATTTTGGTAAAGCAAGTTGTTCCAGAAAGGAGAACTGCATCTCCATGTACTAGGTGAGCAATCATAGCCATGTCATGGCCTCCCTTTGTGCCTCAGTTTCCACCCCCAACCTCTGGTACTCTCTGGCTTGCAGACTTGAAAGCCATGGAGAAATATCAACTTTCAGGCACCAGGATTTCTCCCCACGTATTCCCAACACAGGGAGCACCCTCCCCAAGCAAGAAGCAAATTGCTTCCTGGCTTTCAAACACAATCACAATGACGGTGTTTACCGTCATTAGATTCAAGGAGGCTGAGAGAGGAAGGTATTTGAAAATCACGAAAGCATCGGAAAATCACAAAAATAGTAAATGTCTCTGGCTAGCCAGCAGTTAATTAGGAGAAAAGCATTAGAGGCGTCTGCATGAGCTGCAGCAGATGAGCCAGCATGTGTGATGACTGTAATTCACCCATTAGCATTTATTTGAAAAATAATTTTAATATCTGACAGAAACGCAGGAGCAATCAAGGCAGCTGGATGTGCGCAGAATGCAAGATGTTTCGTAGGAGCCCGGCAGCACTTTAATGAAACTGCGTCCAGACTGTCTGAATAATTCTAATTTAATTGTAGGGAAAATTGTTTGGCTTCATATTGACTAAAGTAAACTCTGATGGATGGTATTTTAATTAACTGACATTTCTTAAATAAAATAAATATTTTACCCCCAGCCACCCTTCAGGCAACTGTTTATCTTACAGACACAATTTTTGGCTGATGGAATACTCTCTGCAAAGTAAGTTTGGCTCCAAGAGGACACCACGGGAAGGGCTTGGCAGACTAGAAGTTTCCTTTTGACAAGGAAGCCAACAGAGTTCCCTGGGGTCTTCAAAACTGTAAAATTTGTAGAACTAGAGGTCTTAGAAGGAAGCGGACAGGGGCTTTTGCTTCAGAGAATATGAGTGGACTAAATATTCAGAAAGACCCTTCACTAGTCATAATTAGGTCCTAGATAAATTAGAGCAGACCCGCTTTTTAAAAAGATTTATGTATTTATTTGAGAGAGAGAGCGAGCGCGAGAGAGCAAGCGCATGAGCAGAAGGGGAAGAGGGAGAGGGAGAGAGATTCCCCAGCAGACTCCGCACTGAGCGCAGAGCCGGACACGGGGCTTGATCTCATGACCCTGAGATCACCACAGGAGCTGAAACCAAGAGTTGGACGCCCAACTGACTACACCACTCTGGCGCCCCAGGGCAGACTCTTTTTTAATGCAGTTCTGGGATTGCTAGAAAGCAAGGGAATTCTCCAACACTGCCTCCCCTGGCAAAACAAATAAACAAAATAGACTTTGTCAAAATAAAAATGTTTCCTCCTCAAAAGATTTTGTTATGAGAAAGAAAAGGCTCATCGTAGACCAAGAGAAAATATGTGCAAAATGTGTTTCCAAAAAAAGGACATTTATCCATAACATATGAAAAAAACCCTGTAAAATTTAACAAGATGGTTAATGACCTGATTTTAAAAATGGACAAAAAATTTGAACACATTTCAACAAAGAGGTTAGAGGAATGGCGAATATTACATAAGATGTTCAGCATCATTAGTCAGTAGGGAAATGAGAGTGAAAGCCATAGAGAAATGCCACTGTGCACACACACTAGAAGGGTTAACACTGGAAAAACTGGTCATCTCCAGAGCTGGGGCGGAGTCAGAGAAGCTGGAACTCTCTCCCACGCCCGCCAGCGGGAACATAAAATGGCACAACCAACTTGGAAAATGGTCTGGCTGCTTAGTGAGAAGTCCCTATTATGCAAGTAGGGACAGTCTACTCCCAAATAATTACCCAAGAGAGAGGAAAGCATCTCTATAGGAGGTTTCATTTGTACCAGCCCCAAAGTGGAAACAGCCCAGAGTCCCTCAGTAGACAGATAAATTAGTGGTATATCCACACAACGAAATGGAATTCAGTCATACCAATGAACAGACTATTGCTACGCAAAACAGTTTGGATGTTCTGGAACAACAGGGATGGCTCATGAAATAAATTGTGCTGAGAGAAAGAGAAGAGACATCTCTTCCCCAAAAAAGAGTTCGCGCTCTACAGTGCCATTTGTAGGACATTCGGGAAAATGCAAACTAATGTCTAGTTACAGAAAGATGAGCAATTACCTAGAAATGGGTGGGGAGGAGATGGAAGAAGAGGCACAAGGAAGCTTCTGGGATGGACGGATTTGTTCACGATCTTGGCTGTTGTGACAGCTTCATGAGTATATGTTTTTACAATGACCAAATCATACTTTGTGTGCTGCTGAAGATACGTATGTATACCTTTATAAAGGCAATCTTTTGAAAAAGAAAAAGAAGACCCAGCAAACGGGATCCAGGACAGTGAGCTGTGAGCAAGAAGCCGAGGCAAACACCAGCACTGCTATTCTGGAGTCTGACCTTCAGCTCCTCAGGGGTGGAGACGTTCAATCTGAGACCCCGACATGGAGCCAGGACCCTCTGTGGGGGATGAGGGGGGGCTAACGTCATCCCAGGGGGAGTGGTACCCCTGACCCCAGGCAGGAGCAAGAGTGCCAATCCCTCTGAAGAAAAATATCCCTGAAGGAGAATCTCCAGGATTCTCACAGATTGAGTGCACAATAAAAAATTACCAAGTGTTCAAAGAAACAAGCCATTTTGAGTGAAAATCTCCAGAAATGATAAACAGCAGCCTTAGATTGTCAAGCAGTGGTGTGCTGGTGAACTTTTCTTTTTTTTTTTTAAGATTTTATTTATTTATTTATTAGAGAGCAAGAGAAAGAGAAACAGCACGAGAGGGGAGAGGGTCAGAGGGAGAAGCAGGCTCCCCGCTGAGCAGGGAGCCTGATGTGGGACTCGATCCCAGGACTCCGGGATCATGACCTGAGCCGAAGGCAGTCGTTTAACCCACTGAGCCACCCAGGCACCCCGTGCTGGTGAACTTTTCACAACTGACGATTTAACAGTGGGGAAAAAGCCCCACTGAATGCAAAACCAGGAAGAAATACACAGTAGTGTATCATTATATACACGGGTATGGTAGACGTACATAACACAGAGAATAACAAAATGTCGTAAAATAATTAAGTGATTAATTTTGAGTCTTTACATCCTTTGTGTTGAATATCATTTAACTGTAGAATTACAAACTCAATTTTTCAGAATGGTTGTGTTTAATTACTGGCTTGCAAAATGCCTGAAAATTTATCAGCTCTCATGAGCCAGGGTGGTACAGATCCGAGGGGTCACTGATTTGCGTATGATAATCACTGGATACAGAATGTGATGTCACCTTTATGCCCCATTTCCCAATTTTTAAATCATTAGGCCAAAAACAAACAGTAAGAAGATACTTCTGTGAGTCAGAGTCAGCTGGTGGCCTGCCATTTTGCACCCTTTGACTTAGTCCAACTTCTTCATGCGATTGATAAGAAAACTGAGGCCCAGAAAGGGGCAAAGCTTCGCCTATGATCACACAGGAAATGAGCTTGGATCTAGAAGCAGAACCAAGTCTGATTCTAAGGACCGGGTCCATGCTCTTACCGCCATCTCTAATATGGGGCATGCAGCTCAGAATTTCCTCTTGTTATTCCAACCTTGCAAAGCAGTAAAATCAGTGAAGTTTCTATAACAATACCCCTACCAGATCCATTTCTTCCCACCCCAGGGAAGGAAATTCTATTTGTTTCTTTGCAACTCCTTTCTCCCTCACTGACCCCACACAAGCCACACCCCAGAAGACACAGCCACTTACTTTGATTGAAGAGGTCGGTCACTGGGACACATCCAACGGCTAGAGCTGTTGCTGAATACGGTGTCCGTCATGGCAGAAGTTCGGTGCTCCTGGAAAATAGGAACCCAGAGAGGACGTCACCCAGTTATCCAGCCGCTCTTTGTATTTCGCAAGTCCTTCCTCTATGCCAAGCACTCCAGGGGATGCAGAGAAGAAAGGGAACTTCACCCAGCTTCTCCACTTCCCAGATGGGGAAAACTGAGGACATCACACTTTCCCTAGTGGCAGAAACGGATCAGAGCGGAGAGCCTTCTTCCTCAAATGCACATTCTTCTCATTCACTAACCCAGATGACATGCCCAGCAGGGGGAGGGTCATCAGAGTTCTTAATTCCAATCCAGGGTCTTCCTACTGGGGGATGTCATCAGACGCATTTGCCAATCCACTTGGCTTGGTCAGCTTTGAGATCTGAAATCCTGGAGTCAATCCTGGTTTTTGTTTTTGTTTTTTTTTTTAATACTTTAACACCCAAGCCATCAGAAAATCGTGGTGGCTTGATCTTCATAATAGACCCAGAATCTGCCCACTGCTCTCTGCCTGGCTGGCTACTATGATGATCCAAACCACTACTATCTGCACCTGGCTTACTACTGTAGCCTCTTCATTGGTAGCCCTGCTTCTACCCTTGGCCTTCTTCAGTCCATGCTCCACACAGTGGCCAGGAAGATGTTCAGAAACATAAGTCACAGCTTGTAAAAACAGCACCACCATGGTTAAACACAGAGCTACCATATGACCCTGCAATTCCATGCCTAAGTATCTACCCACGCAAGAGAAATGAAAACACATGCCCACACAAAAACTTGTACACAAATGCTCATTACAGCATTGTTCATAATAGCCAAAAGGTAGGAAGGACTCAATATTCACCAACTGATGAATGGACAAACAAGATACGGTGTATCCATGCAATGGAATGTCATCCAGCTGTAGAAAGGAAGGAGGCATTCACACCTGCCACGTGGAGGAAACTCCAAAACATGCCAAGTGAAAGCCAGGCACAAAAGGCCATATAGTGTATGATTCCCTCTATAAGGAATGTCCAGAATAGGCAAATCCATAGAAACAGAAAGTAGATTTTGATTGCCAGAGGCTGGGGGCCTAGGGTAGAAGGGCCGGAGGTGATGGCTACTGGCCCGGGGGAGGCAATGAGAATGTTCTAAAATTCATTGTGATGATGGTTGCACAACTTCATGAATACACTAAAAGACACTAAATTGTCTACCTTAAAAGGGTGAACTGTACGATATGTGAATTTTATCTCAGTGAAGCTGGGGGAGGGAGATGACCCTTCGGAAAACTGGCAGGCCCATTAAAGCTATAAACATTTACCTACCCTACGGTTCATGGATTCTACTCTTAGGCACATACCCAGGGGGACAATGCTCATGTTCTAAAACATGTACAAGAACGTTCATAGCCTCTTTATTCATAACAGCTAAAAACTAGAAGTCATTCAAATGTACATCAACAGGAGAGCAGATAAATAAAAGTGGTCTGTTCACACAGTGGAATACTGGTCCACAATAAAAGACAAACTCCTGATGTACGTAACAATGGGGATGAATCTTGAAGACATGATGTTTTATGAAAGAAGCCAGCAGCAAAAGAGGACACGCTATTTGATGGCATTTACATAAAAGTTAAGGACAGACAAAGGTATTTGATGGTTGTAGAAATCAGAGCAAATCCATGGCTAACTTTGGGGAGGGTACTGGCTGGGAAGGGGCAGGGGGGGACCTCAGCAGGGTGAAAATGTTCTGTATCTTCACGTGGGTGGTACATACATAGGCAAAAGCCAGGTGTGCACCTTATGTCCCTTCCTTCACCCCAAATAAAGGAAATCAGCCCATGTCACTCTTTTGCTCAAAAGTCTTCAATGGCTCCCTATTGCTCCCAGAACAAAGTCTCAACTCCTTAGCATGATCTTGGCTCCTTATGACCTCCTTCTTTAACCCCACCTCCCATTCTCCTGTTGTTCCCTACTCAGCCCCACAGGCCTCCCCGTGCTTCGTCCAACATCCCACTTCCTTGCCTCCCGTCTGCCTGAACTCCACCTGCAGATGTTTGCTTGATTCATTCTCTTCCCTTGTTTAGGTCTATTCTCAAATGTCACCTCCTCAAAGGGCCTTCCCTGACTGCTCCACTTAAAACAGCTCCTCCGCTCTGGCTTCCTTCATTCTCATTTCCTTTTCTTCAGAGCTCAGATCCCTTCCCAAAATTACCATGTGTCTTGTTTGTTTATTTGCTTAGAGTTTGCATCTCTTAGCTCTAAAATGTAAGCCCCTTGCAGGACTTATTCTGTTCTCTTCCCTCTTAATCTCCAACACCTCCCATAGCACCTGGCACGCAGAAGGCGTTTAATAAATATTTGTTGAACGCATGCATGAGTCTCCTTTAACACTAAGGCAATCCAGCTGAACTGAGCCAGGCTTCTGGCCTCTGCGAAGGTCCCCGCCTTGCCCCTCCCGCAGGGTCTAGCCAAAGAGAAAGGGGGAGAGACCACGGAGATTACATTTAATTAATTAAAAAAAAAAAAAAAAAACTTCAGAAGGTGGCTCACTGTGTCCAGTGGGTCCTGATTTCCCTGAAGGTCTTGGTACAACACGGCCTTGTTTTTTGGGACACTGAACAGCTGAGAAGCCGGGAGGTGAGCAGGGAGGGTACTCTCTCTGCTATCCTGAAACTGGTGGGGTTATTAAATCTTCCAGTGGGCTGAGGGCTGGACACGGGGGAGGGAAGCCTCTTATAGAAAAGCCATTTCGTCTGCTCCCCTGTGGTTGACATAATCTTCCCAGACTCATATGACCATTTCACTGTTTCCACTTAGAAAACAGAAAGAAAGGAGAGATGGCTCCTGGTGCAGAGGAAATCTGCTGAGAAGAAACTTAACGTCTCATTTTTGCCTGTGCCGGGAGCTGAGCGAGGCCACCCTGGGCCCTGCTGGGTGCCAAGAGCCTCGGGCCCAGGTAATGGGCTTCCTTGGCTGTCCCTGGACTGGACTTGGAACGTTCATTTGAATACCCTGCCTTCTGCTTTGCAGCAGAGATGAAGCACTGCCCTGGGGGGTGGGGGGTGGGGTCCCAGGAAGCAGGGAGGGCTGGGCCAAGGGTTACACAGTACCCCCTCCCGTGAACTCTGATCTCCAAATTCCGGTGCCCTGGAGGGGGAACCTGGCCACCACCCTCTCCAGCATTCATTCAGTCATGAGCACCAGGAGTTCATTTCCTATTAATATTCTGCCTGCCAAGCGCAAGAGCGTTGGCTGACAGCCCCGTGGAAACCACCCAGCTCCATCCTCCAGGCCTGAAGCCACCCCAGACAGTACTGCTTATTTTGGCTTTGCCATCCAGGGCTCTCAAAGCACTTCACCTCTCAGGACTGGACTCCTTGTCTAGTGCATGCCCTGGTCAACCGGACCTGGGCCAGGAGAGGGGATGCCTGAGCCATGGAGACACTGAACAGCAGAGGAGTGAGCCCAGAGAAAGGAGGTCATGTGTCAGCAGGCAGGTCCTCACTGGGGAGGGGAAGGGGTGGGAGGGGAGTAGATGCAGGGGGAGGGGAGGGGGCTAGCAGGCACTGCTGATGTCCTTTCCAGGAGGGGCATCCACCCCCCAGCCTCTAGGAGTGTTCCAGCTAAAAGCTCAGGGCAGCACCATTTCCCAGACGATTGCCCTGAGCCAGCAGAAGCAGCCACCTTGCCCAGAGATACCCCAGGGGCAGCCCAAAACCAATGAACAACGGACAAGGTGGGGATAGAAAAGCACAGCTTCCTTGGGTCCAGGTGGGACAGCTCTGTGTACCAACGGCTCCAGAGCTCCCCACGGGATCAGGCTGAGGCCAGACCCCAGCTGAAGCCACATCCCCCACTGCCCTATACGGCTTCCCTGAGTCATCACTAGTCCTACAAATCCCATCGCTGGTTCTGCTTTTAGAGAACTCGACCTCGTGGGGGAGTAGAAGGGAGAATTTTAGGACAGCAGGGCTCTGATCCCCGAATTCATCACCCCGGGCAAGCCACTTAACCACCTTCTAACCTGATAGGAGGCGATCCTAAGACGCTCTCCTACCCGCCCGCAGATGGTGCTCCATGAAGTCCAGACAAGATGTTGGGTTTGAGGGTGAGTTAATAGAAATGGTAAGCCTCTGACCTTTTCAGATGTCCCTGCCTCTCCTACTGCGTGCTACAAAGAAGCCATCAGCACAGTGGACAGGAAGCCTGCAGCCCCAGGGAGAAGCAGCAGAGGGAAACCAACCATTGATTCCAGGAGCCAAAGGAGATGCACGTGTCAGATAACGTACATAGGATTCTGTCCTAGAACCCGCAGAACCTTGGTGTCGCCGAGCTGGTGAGTTTAAGCACCCACCAGAGTCCCTGACATGCTGTGAGCACTTGCAGAATGGTAACCCCCCTTTCCTGCTTCCCCTAGACTAGTCGATCCAGCAATGATGACTAACATTTCTTGAGCATCTGCTATGTGCAAAAGTCCATACCTTTACCATTTGCTTGAATCCTTACAATCCCGCTCCCAGGTAAGTAAGAGCATCCTCATTTTACAGGTGAGAAAGTGAGGCTCAGAGTGCTTAAGCCACTTGCTTAAAATCATAAGGCTACCAAGAAGCAGAGCCAGGATTTGAACTCTCTCCCAAGCCCATGTGCTCATCACTACTCTGCTCACACCCACAGAACATTCCTCCTCGGTTTTAGATTGTTCGAACCTGACGAGTGTTTGGTGACCCTCGACCCCTGACTGTATTCCCACCTCTCAGCCTCAGAAACAAGCAGAGACGTGCCCACCCAGCACCCTCCCTGGAGATGCTGAAAGAGCACGCATTTCGGCTTGGTCAGGGCCAAAGCCATGGCTTAGATCCAGTCCTGCAGCTGCAAGTTCAGAAAGCATAAAAATCACCACCTCCCCAGAAGCCAGAGGCTCCAGCTCTTTTTCCTGCACACAGGTTGCCCCCAGTCCTGGAGCAAGCTCCAGGACACAGTCTGCTTTCCATCACAAAAACAATAGCAACAACTGACGGTTCCCATATCAAGGGCTTG